AGCGTTTGGTAGAGTTTTAGAATTATGATTTGAGAATAGAGTTGTATTTTGAGTTTGTGAGTTTTGGAATTATGGTTTGAGTGTGAAAAATTTGTTTGGTTATGAGTTTTGAAAAGAGTGTTGAATTAAGTTTGAAATTTTTGATGTGACATATGATATTTGATTAAAAAACTTACAACTCATAACCAAACATGCAAATTCAAAATTCTATTCAAAGCTCATAAAAAATTTAAAAAAATTCCGAAAATATTTTTATTTCAAATATAAAAATAATAGGTGCCAAAAAAAAAAAAACCGAACACTATTTTGGTCAACCGGCTGGCCTAACGTCCGAGAGGGTGACTGGGTAGACTTGTTTTCAAAATGGGTGTGGAATCAATTTTTGAAAACGCTAACCAAACATCACAGTAAAAGCAAAGGGTGGAATTAAATTTAGAAAGCTCTACCAAATAGAGCCTTAGTTTCTCTCTGTAACCCTTAAGGGTGTACCCCCTAATTCGGGATTTGTTCTCTCTCTCTCTCTCTCTCGATTTCAGATTTTTGATTGCATCAATAATTCATTTGAAAATTGATCTTTAGTGTCCAAAATTACACATGACATGATCAATGTTTTGAAACCCGAACTGTTGATCAAACCGGAAAAGGGAGGGTCAAGGGTCATTGGTTCAACCGTTGGGTCAACCGGAATCAAACCGTGATGTCATAATTACCTCATAAATATATTTAAAATTATACTTAAATAGAGAATATAAGTATTTAAATAGTTTCATTTATATTAATTTTATATTTTAAGATATATATTTACATAATTATATTTAATGACTATATATATTTATAAAATATATTTATACTGATTATTTTAAATAAAATAAGATTTACTTTGAGATAAATAAATTGAAGTTAATAAATACTTTAAGTAGTACAAAGTATTAATGAAGCATCATTGTAGCTTGGTGGTGGAAGTGTTGGAGACTACGCGGAAGGTCCAATGCTCAAACCTTGGTAACAGCTGAGATAATAAATTGAAGTTAATAAATACTTTAAGTAGTACAAAGTATTAATGAAGCATCATTGTAGCTTGGTGGTGGAAGTGTTGGAGACTACGCGGAAGGTCCAATGCTCAAACCTTGGTAACAGCATTTTTGCAATTTTCATAATCATGCATGTGGTGCTTCTTTGGGCTTCCAGCGCTGTTGGTTTTGTCACCTGACTACCGGTTCAGCCAGGTAGCCGGTTTAACTGTGGGTTTTTCTGGTTTAACAAAAATAGACCGGTTCAGAGTCTTAAACGGGTTTGGGGGTGCATCTGGACTGGGACTTGGGCCGGTCGATGGGTCAACTAATTGAACCTGCCGGTCCGGTGCAGTTTAATAAACATTGGACATGATTCCTATGCGCACTAGAAAACAAAATTTGAAGTGCATTTATAAAGAAGTGGTGTGGGAATAACGTAAAATGGACGCATTTTCCATATCGTTGTTCCCAAAAATAGGGGGAAGGTGAGGGAATGGATTAAGTGTATGAAACAAATTTCATAATTTCTTTAAAATAGAAATAAAAGTGTTTTTTTTATTTTATGTTTATGAATGGAAGTTTTAGTAGTTAATGTAGAAAATTATAAAATATGTGGAAAGGTTTTGTTGAGTTGAATTGAGTTCTTCTTACTTTTGATAGGCATTTTGCCATTTTCTGAAAAACTTTTAAGGAATGAAATCTGAAAATTTACTCTATGGTCTATTTTTAGGATAAAATATTTCGAAGTAATAATAAACAGCAAGTGAGTCTGGTTACGCATGTGCAAGCCAACACTTTTGACTTGAGTCAAACATGTATGTCATTGCTTCTGTGTATAATTATTGAACGATGCTTTGTTGAATCTATGATGTTACTATAAGCAAGGGTGCTCCTCATATAGCACTAATAATATTAAGTTCATATCCAGGAGGAAGTTGCCAAAGAGTTTGGTGTACCCGTGCAATTTCAACGTTTCTGGCTTTGGGCAAAGCGTCAAAACCACACATACCGTCCAAATCGCCCGTTGACACCTCAAGAGGAAGTTCAATCCGTAAAGACTTTCTGACTTTGCATCTTTTATTGTCTTTCAGTATACTTCTTTATGCATTTTTCATTTTTTATTTAATTGTTGTTATTATTTTTTTTGAGTTACTTCCACAACTCCATCGTGCAGGACTCCAAGACTCGCTCTTGCTTTGATGCACCTTCACAATATGTGTGTTTATTGATTTGTTTATCATCAGTTTTACATGACTCTTGCTTTTCCCCAAGTTAACCATGCTTTGTTGCACCTTCATTCTCTCATGTTTTGCCCTTTGATGTTTTAAAATATTCATTGTCTCATGGTTTACATCCCTTCCTAGTGATGACTTGTTTTAAAGCCGTGAGCCTTGGCAAAGCAAACAATATCATTATTGTTTATGATGAGGGCCTACGTGGCCCGTTGGTGGTGGGTTTCATTAGAGTTGGTTGGGAGCGCCCATCTCTAGTGCAATTAGTGGACCAAGTTGGTAGGGGCAGTTCAAAACATTGATGTGGAACTTGGAGGTAAGAAGAGGGAGGTTTCTTTAGTCGGCTCAATTATATTGGGGCCTAAAGAAAATGCCCCTCATCTGTTTTACAGAAGAAAACTAATAGGCTTTTGGATTGGGAGCTTACCTGAGAGTTGCAAGGATGGGGGGAAAGACCCTGGCAATGTCAGGTGAACATCTGAATGAGAAGTTTGTCCAGATGAGGTAGAAGGTAAGGGGCTTGGGAAATTTTGGGGGTGGGGAAGATTTGATTACAGAAAGGGATGGATTGTTGCAGGAATCTGGGGCTCTAACGGGGGAAGTCTTGGGGGCTGGAAATGGGAGAAATTGGAGGAGTAGGGTGCAATGGTTATGGCAGAGAAATCATTGGCCTCGGTTGTTTGGGAAGAGGGGTGCAGTATACAGGGGTGTAAAGGAGTCATTCTTTTTTAAAAATCTTATTGTAACTAAAATCCCAGTCATGTGTTCTTGACAAGTATATCCTGTTACACTATATAGGCTATCATTAACGTTGAGAAACAAGCTGTGTTTTTGGTTATTCTGATTGGATGAATTTAGGGTGGCTGTTAGAGCCATTCATTTGCAAAGAATCATTCTTATATTCTCCCTCCCTCCATCCCACAATGTTATCTCTTTTGGGAATTTCAAATTTTTAAGTGAACATGCAATTAATGCACTCAAATTCAAATTAAAAAGCATTGGTTCTCAACATTGCCCTTTTTTTATTCACATTTTAAGTAACTGTTTATATGGGATAGTTTTGAAATTTCAGAACAAAAAATTTATGCCTTAAGTTTTTTCCTTGCTTTGCTGGTAAGAAAATGGTTCACCTAATGCTTTTACCTTTAAAAGCTTCTGGATAATTAATGAATAGTTTCTTGTGCAATTCCAATTCCTTGTTTTGCCAATATATGTTGTTTTGATGCAGACAAATGCATTCACGTTTGTAAAAGAGCTTGAAGTATTTGACGCTTGTGGCTGAATTGAGCCTTGATGCCTTCGACACAATTTTATAATGCCACTTGGCTGAGTTTTAGGGTCCCATGAACTCATGTAATCGAGTCATTTCAAGTTCTCTATGGAGTTTTGTTACTTATGGTTGGGTCATTTTATTTTTTCTGGTAGCAATTTGAATCCAGGTTTCCTGCAGTCTGAAATTTAGTTGCATAAAGCGGAAGCGGGGGTGGGGCACATAGAAGAGTCTAAGGTTGATAGTGCCTATTGGGGCGTTTATAATATTATATTATGGGGTTGTTTGGGATGATCTAAATAAGTACACTTTTTGACTTTTTATGAAATATGGGTTGGGTATGGGTTGTGTTTGAAGTGATGTGGTAGAGAGTTGATGTGGCTTAAATAAGATGATATGACTTAAATAGAATAGTGACTTTTTGACTTTTTTGGCTTTTTGGCTTTTTTAGTTTATGCCAAACAAGGCCTATATATGTAAATATATTAAGATGTTGTAAATCTATTTTTTGTTTTTGTTTTGTGATATATATATATATATATATAATATGAATAAATATTGGAGATTGGTGTTAACTACAAATTGTTATAAGTAAATGTTACATAAATACAAGTACTAGAATAAATTTGAGTTATTGTTTTACTATAATCTGATAGCCTCTACAAAATTTCTCTTGCGTGGTAGCTTTTCTTTTTATTTTTTTGGAATTCATATGTTCGAGAGATTTCATCTTAGTTGGAAACCCTGTTCTTTCTTGATGCAAGTGTGATGATAACTGGATTTTGTTTTGAATCGTGGAATCATAGTTTTGGAGTGGATTTGTCAATTCTAGGACATTCCTGCAACTAAGTTTTGAAATTTTTGTTTAAGTTTTCAAAATCTGTTTTCTGTATTTTTTTTCCTAAAAAAAACTAAAAAACCTAAAAACTAGTTTGGTAAAAAAACTGAAAAAATAAAAGCACTGTTCATTTCCATATGATTTTCTCTTGTTTGGGAAAAATTGATTATTTATAATTTGAGAATAATTTTTTGGTGTTTATTTTCATTAAACTAGTTTTTTTTTTTCTTCCTCAAAATAGAAAATAGATTTTGAAAACTCAACCAAACAGAGAGATTTCTCAGACATGTGTTATTTTTTATTAGCAACCTCTTAAAAACTCAAATTTGTTGCATAAATAGATGCTTCTGTTTTTTTCCAGTTAAGTTGCCTGTTTATTCAGTAAATATGGCCGGGTGTGTTTATTCAGTAAATACACCATCTTTTATGGATGAGTAAACTGTTTTCCCCTACTCTCTCTGTGATTGTGTAGTGTCTGGTGTGCACACTGGCAAGTCTTGCAAGTTAATTTGCATCCTTCATACTTCGAAGGAAAATAGTTATCTATACTTCAGCAGTGAATTTTTGTTTTACTGAGTAGTCCAATCCCCTTAAATAATTATGTTTTCAAGTATTCTATGCTCTTTGAGGAACAGGGAGGGAATATGCATATTTGAGTCACTCTATAATTGATGATGATATCCTTACGGTTCTGTACCGTTGTGTCATTTTCTGATCTCCTCTCCCTAGCATGCTAAGATGACATCTTTCATGCATTCTGTTTAAAGTGTATCTTGACTAAACTGGTGTGGGTTTTAAAATCCCTTCAATGCATTCTAGGTTGGACAATTGAGAGAGGTATCCAACAAGGCAAATAATGCAGAGCTAAAATTGTTCTTAGAAGTGGAAAGTGGACAGGTAAATTCTATTTCATTTTTTTGGCACTGGTTACTCACATTGTTTATTATGAACTTCTGTTTTGGTTAAGTCATATGAGTTTTATGATATGCACATGGAACTCTAGATGTTGAATATGATGTGCACACTATGCAGGATTTGCGGCCGATTCCTCCACCTTTGAAGAGCAAAGAGGAGATTCTTCTTTTTTTCAAACTTTATGACCCTCTGAAAGAGGAGCTTAGGTACTTAAACATTTCTTTCCTTGGGTTGGAATTGCATGTAATTACCAAGGCCCCTTTGTTTCCCTTTTCGGTTAGTTACTGAGGCTTATTTTTTTTCATTTTTCCCCCCTGTTGTCAGGTATGTTGGGCGGTTGTTTGTGAAGTCGAATGGCAAGCCAGCAGAAATATTGACAAAGTTAAATGAGTTGGCTGGATTCAGTCCTGATGAAGAAATTGAACTCTTTGAGGTCAGTTATGTCATTTTAGTAGATTGACTACAATTTTCTTGCTCCCTTGCCTGGCCACATAGCAACAGATTTAGTTCAGGCAGTCATCTTATGCATCCCCTTCAATGTTCAGGAAATAAAATTTGAACCTAATGTCATGTGTGAACGCATTGACAAGAAGCTCACCTTTCGTGGTAGTCAGGTATGAACATGATCAATTGTGAGCTGTTTTTGCTTGTACATTCTGCTCTGGTGTGTATAGCCTATTCTTTTTTTTTGGTGGTCGGATATGCATTAACCATGACTAGCTGAAAGGAAATATTCACCTAAATCTTCTGCAGCTTGAAGATGGTGACATCATTTGCTTTCAGAAATCCACTCAAGTTGAAAGTAGTGAACAATGCCGCTATCCTGATGTTCCTTCATTTCTGGAATATGTGCATAATCGTCAGGTATTCCATGAGCCTTAACAATGTGACATCATTATCTTAGAGCTTTTATGCAACATTGTGAGCATGCCAAATTTTCTGATATACAAGGTCAAGCGTATAGGACTCTTTGGAGGCTCTCACATGCCAAACCTTTGAAATTTATTGAGCCACAATTAAATACTGACTCAACCACTAGTTAACATTATGTCACAAAAATCCAAGCTCACAAGCCAGTGAATTCCTTTTATTTTTTGATTGCCCACAAACTCGACATTCCGGAAGGAATCCAAATGGCTAAAATTGGTATCCCACAAAGTTACATGGATGCAAACTCATGTTACATGGACTCTTATATATTTCACAAGGTTCATGTGTCCACCGGATATGACAAGAGTAAGAGTGTTGGATATGTGTCCGAACCTATACCCGATTAGACACGTGAATACTCAAATTTTTTATTATGTCACATAATGCACCTCTCACAACCCCCAAAGCACCACTGTCACCTACTTCCCATAGTTCCAGCATCGCTTGCTGCCCATAGTCCTACAACCCCCAAATCAATGGGCAACAAAACCCCCATGTTTCTCTGTCTACACTAAGAAATAATACGTTCATAAAATGTTTGTAACTGAGATGAGGATATGGTTAAATAGATATTTGGTCGAAGTACAAAAGACAAAATAAAAAATGAATATATTTGTGAAAGTAAGTGGCATATAATGGGTTATAATGATGTTTGTAATATCTCCTATATAAGGAGTGTCATTTGGTCTTGTAAAATAAGAAGTTTTGAATATAACAGAAATATATTTCTTCTTCCTCATATTTTCTAAGTTAGGAGTTCTTCTTCCTCATATTTTCTAAGTTGAATATATTTGTGAAATGGTAGAAGTAACATAAATTAAAGATGTTGAGTTGAGATAGACCATGCTAAGAAGAAGATGGTTTGGTTATACAAAATGACAACCTGTAGATGCAATAGTAAGGAAGAGTGTTGTAAATGAAAGTGTTTGGGAGGGAAAAACCTAAACTGACATGGAATGCAGTTGTAAAAAATTATATGGATATATTTAATTTAACAAAGCATATAGCCATTGATAGAACGGAATGGCCAGGAAAGAATTATGTAGCCGACACCACCTAATTGAGACATAATGCGTAGTTTGGTTTGGTTTATTTGTGCTGTACACCATTCTATTTCTTTAATGGTTGTTTAGTTGAACTTACATATTTTATATTTTTTCCTAATCCCCCCCAACCCGCAGGTTGGGTGACTGGTGTACAAAAGAATGAGTTGTTTTTTTCTTTTCCCCAAGAACTTACAGTGAAAAGGGAAGAAGTGAACTGTTTTTATCTTTTATTTATTTATTTTATTTTTTTATCTATGTCCTCCCCCGGGCAAGTGATTAGTAATGGAGGACAATGCATTCATTGGGTGTTTGAAGATGTCAAAAATTTTAATGTAGTCGACATTCTAATTACAGCTTTTTGCAATTTTTTCTCTGATGATCCCCTCAGTATTAGTTTTGCACTTGATTTGATGATTCATAGGTTGTTCGCTTCCGTTCTTTGGAGAAACCTAAGGAGGATGAGTTCTGTCTCGAGCTGTAAGCTTTCCTAAATCTTATCTATCATACAAATTTATTCTGTATATCTAATTATTCTGTTTATTATTTGTTATATTAACTTCTTTATGAATTTACTTGGGAAAAAAATATGGTTACCCTCATAAATTTTTTAGGTCAAAGCTTTACACTTATGATGATGTTGTTGAAAGACTAGCCCGCCATCTTGGCTTGGATGATCCGTCTAAAATAAGGCTTACATCTCATAACTGCTACTCTCAGCAACCTAAACCCCAGCCAATCAAGTATCGAGGAATGGATCATCTATCAGACATGCTGGTCCACTACAATCAGGTTGTAGTGTCACTCATTTAGACTTTTTATTTTGCTTTTTATAGTTAGAATAACCACTGTTTTCTGATGGCTTAGTTTTCTTCCCTTGTGGACAGACTTCAGATATTCTCTACTATGAGGTATTGGATATCCCTCTTCCAGAACTGCAGGGCCTGAAAACTCTAAAAGTTGCTTTCCATGATGCTACCAAGGACGAAGTGAGTGTGAAATCGAAGCAGTCATTTCTTCATTATATGTTAGCTTTTTGTCTCTCATACAATCTTGATTTAACTATTTTCAGGTAGTAATTCATACTATTAGATTACCAAAACAAAGCACTGTTGGAGATGTTATTAATGATCTGAAGGGGAAGGTAACCATTGCAACTTTCTTTGCTTTCTAACTTGTCATGTACTCCTTTTTTTCATGGAGATGTTGCTGTATTGATTGGACTGCGACAATATTTTTTGTACTTATTGTGCTAAAATTTACTTGCTTTATTTGACAAGAATCCACTCCCCGTAGTTCCTTATTTTGAAACAGGTTGAGCTGTCTCATCCAAATGTGGAACTTAGATTGCTTGAAGTTTTCTATCACAAGATCTACAAGGTATTAAGTAATGTTAAAGCTATTATTGTTACTTTCTGAAGCAAATTTGATAGGTCATTGAAATGGGTGTTAGATAATGTTGAAGCTATTACTGTTACTTCTGAAGCAAAGTTGGTGAGAGCTTATTGAAATGAATGCATCTTGACAGATGGTCTGTGGTTGATGCTTGATGCTGTCCTTTCTACGTTCAAGTTTTTCACTTTTTTTCTTTGTTTCTTTTTCTCTGAACTGCGGCTGCATGAAAATATGATTGGTGGATGGAGTTAAATCTTTTCAAAAAATAAAATATAACCAGAATCTTTTCAGAATCAATTTATAATTCTCAAATCACTTCCAAAACTCCTAACGTTTCTGGGTTGATTTCTGGTGAGCTGTGAAATTATTATAGTGTTTACTGAGCACGAGCAATTATGTGTACCTAGCACTACTTGCATCATCTGAGACCTTTTCTATGTTTTGTGATCTTATTCTGCACCATATATGTTACAGATTTTCCCGCTTAATGAGAAGATTGAGAATATCAATGATCAGTACTGGACATTACGTGCAGAGGAGGTAATCAAATTTTTTGTCCTTAGCTGGTTTATTCATGTGGCATTAAGTCCCTTGTGTTTCCTGTTTATACAAGTTTTCTGCAAAAATGATCTTCCAATATTTGTAAAGGTGCTTCCTGCATCTTGATTGTTTGTTTTCTCGACTAACTAGTTATTTAGGACTATGTTTGGGCTTGGATACGAGTGTCAGGTGCAGGTATGCATCTAAGTGTCTAATTCATTTAATTCTTTTGTCCAAGATATGGGGACATGGAAAATATTCATAAATTTTAATACACTTCTTTTAGTTTCTAGGGTAAAATGATGCTTATAAGGTGTAGAGAATTTCATGCATAATTTGGAGGTTTTATGCTTGGCTTTCTGTTGGACTCGAAATATGCTTGCTAGGTGAATGTCTAACTACATATGTCAGAAACATATTTCACATCTTTTCCCAAGTGTCGAGTGTCTAACACGGGTACTTAATGCAGTTAGAAAAATCCATGTAAGATAGATTTAGGTCAACACTAAACTTGAAAGAAACCATGCTTTTGATAAACAGCTTGGGCTGTCGGGTAATGCTGAGCTGATTGAGACCGTACCGTAGCCTTCATTGGGGCACCTTGTGCTTTCGTGTTTCCAATAACTATCTAGGAGCTACATTCATTCCATTCAATTTTGATTGTAAGGAATATTTAGGATCATTGAATTAGAAAAAAATATTATAGTAGCTGTGTCTCTTGATTTCCAAAATCTGTAAGAATACACTGTGAGCTAATAATTGATAGATACTAATTTACAACTATTGGTTCTTCAAAGTTGATGGTGGCTTTACTTTTTTCTCCTTTGTCCTTTTCTTTCCTCTCCTTTTTAATGTTATTTTTCCTTCTCAATTTCATTCGTTTCTTATATTTTCAATTTGTTCCAGTTTTTCTTTCTTTTGTCTTTTTTTTAGGTGTCATGTTGATTATTTCAGGGTAAGTTACAATGACCTCCCTCGAATTTTAGAGATAATACAAGAAGCCCCACTAGGTTACGAAAATTACTCGATACTTCCCTTCCATTAACAAAGACTCTAAATGTGTTAATTGAAGTGATTAATTTACTTTTTTACCCTAAAATGTTTTGTATTTTAAGTGACATTAATGTCAAATGACAAAATTGACCTCTTCTTAACTGTTCAGTTTACTTAATTACCCTCCATTATATCTATTTTATTTCTTCCTCCATTTCATGAGACCACCGCCACCATCCCCCTTCCTCATCACCGGCAATTTCTCTTTTATCATTCCTTCACGTTCTTTTCTTCCCTCATTTCTTTTCATTCTCTTTTCTCATGGCTCTGCAAACTAGCCAAAAGCCACTAGCTACAACCACCAAAGGCCACCAATCGCTGCCACTGCCAACCCGACAACCTCTTTCTTTCTTTCTTTCTTTCTTTCTTCCAGGTCATCTGTCTCTTCCCACTCTCAAACAACAAACAACCACAATTGCCGTTGGATATAGAGAGAGTGAGAGTGAAGCCACCACAGGCATCATGCCTAACACCACTGCTAACGCTTCTGTGATCCCCTTCTCTCGCTCTACCCCATCTCGGCTCCAACACTTCTGTTGGGTTTTTTTGATCTACTCTGTCAGGGTTTTATATGATTTTGGGATTTGGGAACAAGCTCAATGATGGAAAGCCTTCAACGAAATGGTGGTAAGAGCTTTCAGGTAGGACATGCTGCTGGATTCATGGCTCACAAGGGTATGAGAAAAATATGCGTTGGTGCTCACACCAGGGGCAAGAGCTAGCGGAATGTTTGTGAAGTTGCCCATGATTACACAGTTGATGAGAAAGGAAGCAATGATGGTGTCGATGAGGTCTTTGCAGATTCTCTAAGACTCATTAGGCTAGATGCGGCGGATGTGTTGGTGCTGGATCAGTTAGAGTCGAGGATGGAGGGATTGGAACAGAGGGACATAGTCAGAGATAAAGCATGTGCCACTGTGACAATGGTTTTCTGTTCAACCATTTGCTGAATAGGTTATTTAAAATGAAAAATGAAAAATAAAATAATTTGGCTAGATTTTATTTTTAAAGAAAATGGTAAGTTGTGAATTTAATAAAATATATGGCATTACATAAGCAAAAGATAAGTTCCGGGAGGTGGACTGTTTGTGGGATATATTTGTCACTTATCTTCTTTTTGGGTGTCGGGGAACTCTTTATTTAAGAGTGTCCCAATTTTTTTCTAAGCTAGAGATTGGTTGGCGGTGTGTGCAATGGAGGCTTTTGCCCGTGTTTAGCTTGTTAGGGGTATTTGTGTTTGTATTCTCATTGTCCTGTTGTAAGAGGATGCCTTATCCTCTTTTCATTTTTTGATTTATCAATAAAGCTTTTGTTGTTGATCAAAAAAAAAAAAAAAAAAAAAAAAAAAGAAGAAAAAGAAAAAGAAAAAGATACCTCATTAATAGCTTATTTACGCTTTAGTCTTTAGACCAATTTATCACTAAGATTTAAGGGAGGACAATGTAATTTTGTCGAATTATGGGGTAGGTTGTAATAAGTTCAAATTACAGGTTAGGTCAGTGTAATTTACCCATTATTTTATTAACTTGCCTTTTGACATACTATTATATCACTAGCTCAACAAGCCATTTTAGCTGTGTTGAATTGACCGGTATAGCAAAATTTTCCTGATCTTTGATTGTTTGGATCGGTTCACATTGTCATATGGAAAGTGTTTTGTAGAGGTTCCTGACTACAGTTGTTCCTCATAACAGATTCCAGAGGAGGAGAAGAACCTTGGTCCTCATGACCGTCTTATTCATGTTTATCATTTTATGAAAGATACAGCTCAGAACCAAGTGGTAAGTTGTTTTGATAGAAAATTTAAAAGCGGTATTGCCATTGTTCCAATCATTTATAAAGTAGTTGGAGCAGGGGATATGAGAGAGTGCTTTTGTTACATATTTGTGAGAGCGCTCCGATCAAAATTAAGGGTTCAGAATGTTTCTGGTGTTTGATGAACCGTGTGCTATGGCTCGACTCTGTTGTCAAAAAGATTTACATTCGTGGAAAGGATGGGCTGCCAACAACTTTCCTTCAAAATCCAGTGTCCAGGAACAACTACAATACCAGTAAACTGAGATTCAGTAATACAAATTGTAATATTTCTTTGTCATTTTTTCCTTTTTAAACAGCAGGTCCAGAATTTTGGGGAACCTTTTTTCCTTGTCATCCACGAGAGTGAGACTTTGGCTGAAGTCAAAGTACGCATACAGAAGAAATTGCAGATTCCCGAAGAGGAGTTTTCAAAGGTATAATATTTTTATTTTTGGGAGAATTAGAAAAAAAAGGTTTTGACCCTTGTAACAAAATAAATCTAAAATTTTTAATTTTGTCAATTTAAACAGTAATATTTTGATTTGTTTTTTTGTTTAAACCATTTTCTTATTTTCATTTAGTAAAATCGATGGAAAATGGGTATTTTAGTCATTAAACTCAATATAGATATACATAAAATGAAAAATGTTAAAATAGATTAGCCTGTGTCCAAAATTTTCAGAATCTTTCTCTATTTTAATATTATAAAAATCTTCATATTCTGACCAGTAACTTGTGATTCAACAAATTTGCAAGGCTGGTCATCTCGCTCTCCTCTCTCTCTCTCTCTATATGTATATATAATCTTGATATAGTTGCTTCTATTCCCTCTCCCTCTCTGTCTCTCTCTCATGGTTATACCCTGGTTTTTTTTTTGTTGTTGTAATTTCTCCTTTATTTTTTCTTGCAGTTAATATTTTTCTTGGCACACAAAACTGTGTATACTGCGTAACCTTGTCTTTCAACATTATGATGCAACATTTTCTGTGAGAATGTGTTTGGTTAATTATTTTACTGTAATTTTTCTAAAATTACTGTTTTTCCTCAGTGGAATTTTGCATTTTTATCTTTGGGTCGTCCTGAATACCTTCAGGATTCGGATGTCGTTTCCAGTCGCTTTCAGGTGCACATAAAATTCTCTCTCTCTCTCTCTCTCTCTCTCATCTGCGTACACGCAAGCAGAAGCATTACACACTCCCATGCATGTGCATGCATAATTTTTTTTTTGAGGTGATTAATGTTTTCTCCCTTCTATTTTTCACTTTTTTTTTTATTTTAGAGAAGGGATGTCTATGGTGCTTGGGAACAGTACCTTGGATTGGAGCACTCAGACAACACTCCAAAAAGGTCATATGCAGCCAATCAGGTATACAAGTGCCTCGAATTGATTTAAATTGCTTAGATACAAGTTTAGGAAAGTATGTGGTCTAAAAAATCAGCGGAGATGTTTTTCTTTATGCCTCTGGCTTGTGCTGTTTGTCTCAATTTTGTGGCTAATATAAACTTTTGTGCTAAAATTGTATTAGTTTATGACTTCTAAAGTTATTAAGAACTTGTAGTGACCTTAAATCTCAATTGTGCAGAATCGACACACATTTGAGAAGCCAGTGAGAATCTACAATTAGGAAATGCCAACTGAATCTCTGCCAGTGCTGCTGAATCTGATAACCCTCTGATGGAATATGACGCTTTGTGAAGAAGACACCAGCAGCAAAAAAAAAAGAAATAGAAAAAGCGAGCAGCGAGATATTGTGAGGTTTAGTTATCATTTTATTAAATCTGTAATCTTTTAATACGGGGTGGTAGAGCATATGCAGCATATCCTCTGTAGTTTGGACATACCTCCCCCCTGCTCTCTCGCACATGTGCTTGCGCAAGAACCAGCGCGAGGGTGAGGTGCTTAGGTTTTTTATTCCATTGTAATTTAGGAATATATAAGATTTTGGGTTGGGCGATGTATAGTGTATAGGTATGTTTTTGGACATTTCCTTTCTTTTCCCTTTTCTTTCTGTCTGATTCTCCATTTCTAGTTTTATTTTGTGTGCATTACTAGTGGCGGATCTGTATAATGTTGTTTTTTGGTTACTATTTCTGGGTTTTTCCAGATTTGTGCAAAAGGAACTTGTATTTTCTTTGCTGTCCAATTGGTATCCAGCTGTTCTAATCCCTGAAGTTAATTGTTGAGAACGCTGCCTTCAATTGATAGGAAAAAAAAAGGAAATAAAAGGACAAGACAATCTAAAAACTGTTCGCCTTGTTTGGTTTTGATTAATTTTCTACAAATTAATTTTTTTTTTCATATATATATATATATATATATATTGTTTTTGACACTTAATTAAAAAATATTTGTAAAAAAATATTTTAAAAAATTAATAAATATACAAGAATACATAAATGTATTAATTTTCGTATTTTTTTATTTTTTTTTTATTTTGTGAATTTTCAACAGATTTTTTTTTACAAATATTATATTTTTTAAATATATTTATGTTAGGTGTATATAAAAATTAAAAAAATTGTTCACAATATTAAAAAAGTTCAATAAAAATATGAAAAATACAAAATTTAACTTTTTAAAAAGTGGGTTTAATTTTCTGAAACTAAAAAGTAGATTCAATTTTTTGAAATCAAAAAACTTGTGGATGTGGTTTTTTGATAAAATATGGATTAATTACACTGGTCACCAGTATACTGCACCTGAAATCCCACTTCAGCCCCTCTATTTTTTATTTTATGTTTTTTGGACGGGCAATTTGCTACACTTCTAGTCAGTGTGAGTCTCCTGTAAGATTCTGTTAACTATTTAATTGTGTGTTCAATTGTTTATTTTAATTAGCATTTTTACATTAAAATTTCATTTAATACTTACAGCAAGCATTGAATTTTTCTCAAATTTAAATTTAAATATGAGAGAATTTGATGCGCTAGTTGACCCAACACGGATCCTGTTTTGATTATTCGAATTATTTGTTTTGTAAAATTCTTAATATATATCATGAATGAAAAAAATTAAATTGATTCAATAATTATTGTAATTTTTGTAAGGCTAAACTACCAATAGTTCCTAATAGTTAAACTTAATTCTCATCAAGTCTTATTGAAAATAAGTTTTGATAAAATTGTCTAAAAAAATTATTTTTTGTGATAATTTTTTACATACGTCGTTAAAAATTGATAATTGGTGACCCTTTTTGTCATGATTTTTATAAATTAACCCTAAAATTTACAATTAGTAACTTTTTTTTTATAACAAATTTTTTTCATAAGACTTATTAGATAATAAGTTCACTTATTAAGATATATACGTAAGTACCCCTTATAGAATAACTAAAAATCTGTGATTTGACTGAACTTAGTACTAATGTTACAGTTAATTTCCTTGAGTGCATTCTTGGTTCTTAACATATATCATCAATGAAAAAAATTAAATCAATTCGATAATTATAATATTTTTATTTTATGATATTTCTCTTTAAAAAAATAAACAATACAATAAAATTAAAATGTTACGATTATCAAATTGTAAGGCCCCGGTGTCCCACATCGGGAATGGAGGGGGAGTTCCTGAGCTATAAAAGTAAAAACCTAGGCACTTATATAGCATCGAGGCCTTTTTCCAAGTGGTGAAATCCCTATTAGAACTCCCTAGTTAAGCGTGCTTAGGTTGGAGTAATTCTATGATGGGTGACCCACTGGGAAGAACAAATCCGTGCGGGCGTAACCCAAAGTGGACAATATCGATGACGTGTAAAGGGTCGGGGCGTTACAAATGGTATCAGAGCCGACTCTCTGGAGTACCGAGTGTGGGCCCCTGGCGTCTCTTGGTGCATGTGGGCGGGCTTGCGAGCTGGCAGGCTACTGCACGGGGACGTGCAGCCTGATGGGGGGTGGATTGTAAGGCCTCGGTGTCCCACATCGGGAATGGAGGGAGAGTTTCTGGGCTATAAAAGTAAAAACCTAGACACTTATATAGCATCAAGGCCTTTTCCCAAGTGGTATCGGGAATGGAGGGGGAGTTCCTGGGCTATAAAAGTAAAAACCTAGGCACTTATATAGCATTGAGGCCTTTTCCCAAGTGGTGAAATCCCTATTAGAACTCCCCAGTTAAAGCGGACAATATCGATGATGTGTAAAGGGTCGGGGTGTTACACAAATCGACTTAATTTTTTTCACTAATTTATTTATCATCTTAATCTTTGAACTTTCTTTAATGATAAATTATTATTCATAATATATTTTATTATTTATAATTTTTGTAAATTTTTTTTTTCAAGTTAAAAAATTAACACGCTCTTTGCTTCCCATACCAATCTGATTTTTCTTGCTTCCAATATGATACTAGGCGGGGGACTACAAACTTTTCATATTGTCATCCTTAAAAAAGAGGTCAATATAGTTATTATGTTAAAAATATCAATAATGCTAGGTATTATGAAAAATTTTTCATGAAAATAATCATGAAAATTTTGTGACTCTTAGATTACATTTACAATAAAGCACCACACACTAATCAAGGTAATCTAAAGATCATAATTTTTCATGATCATTTTCATGAAAAAATTTTCATGATTCTTAACTTTTCCCTAAAAATATAAAATTAATTGTGATTTGTTTAAAATTCAAGAGAGGTGAATGTAATTACCTATAATTTGGTAGTAGCAACATCCCTTTCACGGGAGAGAGAGAGAGAGAGAGAGAGAGACAATTTCAGGTCCAAAATACTCCAACAGCGTGGAACATTCTGCGCCTCACCTCTCGCACTCTCACACACCACAACACTCATTCCTTCTGCACCTTATTCCACAAACAAACCTTGAGAGAGAGAGAGAGAGAGAGAGAGAACATGGTTATGTCTGTATTGCTTCGATTTATATATCCACCACCACCTTCATTGTTCGTAACTGCCATGTCTGTGATCAGCGCTGCATCTTTGGCCAACGCCGGGATTTCGGAAATCAAAGGCAAACACATGCAGTATTCTAAGTTCTGGAACAACAACAACAACAACAACAACAACAACAACAACAACATTGGTAGTAATAATTCTCAAAAATCTTCTTCTTCTTCTTCGGCCAAGCGGACCAAACTGTCCACCAAAACAGGTATGCTAATTGCGTACACGCCGGCGTTACTCGCCAGCGCCGCTTCCTTCGTCATTTTCCCCAACGAGGGTTTTAGGTTCTTGTTGGTCAATTCTGCTCTAAGCATCCATTTCTTCAAGAGGCTTTTTGAGGTATTCAGAATTTTAATTTTAATTTTTTTTTTTTCTAATAATGCCAGTGTATTGTGTGGTTCGGATTTATTTTATATATAGACTAAAGTTACCTCAATTAAATTTTATAATTCTGCTACGTAGCTCGAAATATCAACTGCTTGAATGGCTCGAAATTTCAAAATGACGTCGTTTTAAGAATTTTTTTTATTCTCTTACCAGTAAGATAATATTTTTCGTACCATTCGGACCATTCGAACTCTACCCATTCGAGCTCTCACGCATTTTCCTAAATTTTAACTAAGTTTTCCATTTGTTAATTTGAAATTGGAAAAAAAAATTAATTAGTCTACTCAAATTATCACTTGTTTGAATTTAAACAAGTATCCCTTTTGTTTTGCAGGTTTTATTCATTCACAAATACAGCAGTGTGATGTACCTTGATGTTGCAATTCCAATCTCTCTCAGCTACTTCATCTCCACATCAACCATGATCTATGCCCAACACCTAACCCTAGGGTTCCCCGAGCCGCCACTTGATCTTAAGGATGCCGGAATTTCGATGTTTTTAATGGGTATATCTGGTAACTTGTACCACCATTACCTCCTCTCTAAACTGAGGAAACGAGGTGATAAAGGGTACAAGATCCCCAAAGGTGGCTTGTTTGATCTAGTGATATGTCCACACTATCTTTTTGAAATATTAGGGTTTATAGGGATCTCTTGCATTTCTCAAACTCTCTATGCATTCTCATTCACCCTAGGCACCACTATCTACTTGATGGGGAGGAGTTATGCCACTAGGAAATGGTACCTTACAAAGTTTCAAGACTTTCCCAAGAATATCAAGGCTCTTATTCCATTTGTCCTCTAGAATAAAAATGAAAATGTGGAAATATAAATTTAGGATAAAGTTAGTATTAAGTCATATATATAAAGATATGACACATTTTTTAGATTTGATATATGAAATGAGATTAAAAGCCAGAGTAGTTAGGCTTATGCCATAAGTTTGTTGATCAATAATTTTTTGTTTGTGAAAAACTTTACTGTTCATCTTTGTGCTCTTACTGACTTTTACATGTAATTTAGATCATTGGTTTAAGTAGGAATTTACAAATGAAAAGGAATTGTGAGAGAAATTGATTTTTTTTTTTTTAAAAAAACTTATATTTCATTCATATTTTTTTCACATATTTCTTGTCCTTTCAAAATTACTATTTAAATTCATGATCTAAATATAACTTTCAGAATGAATTGCTAATAGGTGGGTGTGAAAATGCACCGGCCATAAAAGAGGATGAAAAAAAAGAAAGAAAAAAAAGTGCACTTCGATTAAATATTGTTAAGCAAACTATACCCGTAGTCTTTATAATTTCTCATGTGCTAAATTTAGTTTTTGTAGTTCTAATTAGGACTATTTACATAGAGAAACTATTGAGAAATATCACCGTGACCTCCTAAACTTTAAAAACATACAAATAGACTCTTTAAACTATTGAGAAGTATCACTTTGTCTTCCTAAATTATAAAAATATATAAATAGACCTCTTAAACTATTGGTATGTTTCACTTTAACTCATTCCATTAACGGTCCAATTTGTACATTTTTACAATCTGGAGACATTTGTACACTTTTATAATTTAGAATGTAAAGTGATACTTCTCAATAATTTGGGAAGTCTATTTGTATGCTTTTAAAGTTTAGGGGGTCAAAATAATACTTCTCATAAGTTTTTTTGTGTAAATAACCTTCTAATTATATCAATTTTGTTCTTAAAATTTTATTTATGTCAATTTAGTTTAATTGATATTTCTATTTGCGCACCACTTTTTTATTTTGATATTTTTAAGTTCACACTATTTTGTCCATTTGGATATCAACAACCAAATAAAAATTAATTATTCAAATATCAATCACAGAATAAAATTAATTATTTACATATCCACTACTAAATTGGGTTTTCATCCTGTAGTTTGATTATGAACCACAAATTTTTATTTGGTAATTGAGATCTAAACAAAAATTGGCGGGAATTGAGAAATTTTGTGGCAAATAGAAGTTTGTTTTTTTGAAGTTGGTTGTTATTCTTTCAATCAATTTGGGAAGAGTGAATAAATTATTTTGTCCCTTGATATTTAATCCATTTTTTTAAAATATTATTAATTAAAAAGATTGACACAATATAAAAACTTTAGGAATAAAATTAGAGTGGTGCTATTAGCATCCCATGAATTATTTTAGATCCCTCATTTTTTTGGACCCCCACTTGTAAATTTTGAAACCCTTAAAATTTCTTTTCTCCCCCAAATAATATCAAAATTATCCTTAAACATTTTACCCATTGAATGAACACCCCTCACACCCCCACACCCCAAAAAAAAAACCTCTCTTCCAAAAAATCCTAACAAAATCCACTAAGAAGAAGAAAAGTCTCATCCTTTTCAAAATCCACGAAGAAGAAGAAGAAGAAGAAGAAGAAGAAGAAGAAAAATATTGTCTATGTTCATATAAGCTACAACATGGTATAACCTTTTGACTAACTACTGCAGAGATAGAGAGAGAGAGAGATCTTTATTTTTTGTTTTTAATCTCATCTGATATGCTGACTAGTTGAACAATTGCTCTTGTTTAACATGGTATAGCCTTTTGATGTGCTCCTGTTTCTACCATAACATATCCTCCCTATCTTTTCTCTATCTCTGTCTTGGGACTGTAGCAGTGTGGGTGGGTGGGTGTGTGTGTGGTGAGACTTGAGGGAAAGCCATAAACAAAACAGAGTTGTAGTGTACCCAAAAATGGCTAGTTTCTTTCATGTTCGGACCTGTATTCTTAAACAAATGAGTTATATTCGGAAATGTGTTATAGAACAAATAAATAATGTTCAAGCCTGTATTCCCGAACTTGAAAAAATAAAATTTCTGCAAGTGTTAAGAATTTTAACTGTTAACTCGCTATCACCTTTAAACAAATAACAATACAAATTAAATTTCAAAATGTAATCAGTAAAACAGGTTCGAACCTATGAATAATGTTCAATTACCTATTTCCGAACAAATAAACAATGTTCGGGCCTGTTGTAGACACCCCATTTTTGATCGCCTTTAAGACTTGGGCACTACTGATGGTTTACTTGGTGGTGAAAGTTGTGCAGTGCAAGGGTTCGATTTTTCGGCAAGGAGAGAGTCAAATCCCAACTTCACACCCCTTTTTGGACCAAAACTATTTTGAATGGTTTTTAGACCTTAAAATCCTCTCTTTCAAAACATTTTTGAAAATAGGTTCCTACGATGTTCCGATGCTCGCATTTTGTTAAATGTCGCGCTTTTCGGTAAACCGAGCAAGGACAAAGTGGAAATGAATGAAGGAGAGATGAACTCTTTTGAAAATTCTTTCAAAACACCTTGTCTAGGGGTTTGGAGTTGAAGAAAAAAGGAGAGGAGAGAAGAAACCAAGTTGGAGAAACAGTTGGCATGAATCCGGGAAGGATTGAAACTAAGCGGCTTCACCAAAACAGGCATAACTTTTTGCATACTTGGAATTTTGAAGTGAGGCTTCCACCATTGGAAAGAAGACTTCCAGGGCTACAATTTAGGCTCAATAATGACCTGAAAATGAGTCCAGATGAAGGAGTTATGTCTGGTTGACATCGGGTCCAAAAAGCCAATTTTTCTGTCCAACCAGAGGTGGAGAATGTGAGCCATAAATGGGATTTTTGGGCCATGTGCCGGTGATGAATGGCCAATGCCGACCCCCTGCCGTCCAAGGGAGTGTGCTTCCGGCCAACAATGGTAAGGTGCCGACCAACAGTGGTACAGTGCCGGCCACAGATGGCAGAAAGCAGTTTTGGACAAATATTTTGCTCCAGCTTGCTCCAGTTGTCTCTCTTGAGATATTTTCGACCAAATGCTCCATTTTTACTATATAATGAAGCCTTATATCTCATATTCAAGGGTTAGAACATTTGGAGAACAATTGAGGAGGAAGTTTGAGAGCCTCTCTTTCTTCAATATTCTCTCTAGATTTCACTCTCTCTTGGGCATTTGTACTTGAAGGCTTGCATACAATCATTTTCAACCTATCAACCCTTAACAAGAGTTGTTGATCATTGGGATGAGGTTGCTAGAAGGTCTTCTTGGAGCTCATTAAGGAGGTTTTGACTTGGTTTTGTGCCTCAAAGTGTGCTTCCCTCCAAGAGGTAAAATTTTCACCCTCTAAGCTTGTCTTTCACACTTGCTTCACCATCATTTTTCCATTATTTTGGAATATTTTGGGGCTGGTTTTGAACCATAAAAAAATTTGATTTTGAGGTTCTAAAATGGTGGTTTAAGCCTTGTTTGGCTAGGGGGTTGTCTCTCCATTTTGCTCCTTGGCTTGTAAAGCCTTTTGAGCTATCTTTCAAGGCCTTTCAAAACAAATTTTCATGGCCTTTTAACCACTAAAATCTAGAGAATTTTTAGTGGTAAAAACCATGTTTTGAGGTCCCAAATAGGAGAGGGTGGTCCCCTCTCCTCTTGTCTTGCTTGCTTGTCTTGTTGGCCTATCAAATGAGCATGTGTTTCTATTTCTTTGTGGCTTTGTTCAAGCATATTTTTGTGACTTTTTAGACCTGCCATAACTCTATTTTTGGTTGTCTTGGTCACCTCTTGCATGCTTCTTATACTTGTAGTGTAATCCTACTTGTAGCCTTGCAAAGTAACATGTCTTTGTGGCTTGAATTTGCTTAGTTCAAGCATGTTTTTAGCTATTATTTGCCTCGCCATAGCTCTTTTTTTGGCTGATTTGGTCACCTCTTGCATGCTTTTGGTACTTGTAGTGCAATCATGCTTGTTGACCTAACATGTTTCATGCTTTTGTTCATCATTCTAGCATGTGTTAGCTTTACTCCAACACATTTTTGCCACTGATTTAACATGCTTGAGGTCTGTTTTAAGTGGTCTTGGTCATGTATGGCTTGCCTTGTAAGGCTATAGTGCAAATGACTTTGCTAGTCTTATGTTTTGAGACCCCTAACATGCCTTATTTGTGACATTTGTGTGATATAGCATCATTTGATATATGATTTCAGAGCATGTTTTACTGTTATACTCTCATGTTTATCACTCTTTCAATGCTTTTGAGAAGTTGAGCATTATGCCTTGTTGGTGAGCCAATACATGAGCTTGTTTTTTTTTGTCATCTATGCTACACGCCTAGCATGTTTTTTGCCACTATTTTGACATGCCCTAGATCTGTTTTGAATGGTTAGGGTCACTTGAGCATTGCTTAGTATGGTTATAGTGTAAAGGGCCTTGCCTAGCTTTGGGTTTTGAGGCCTTTAACATGTTATGCATGTGATGTTTGCATGGTATGACACCATTTAGCAAGTAATTTCAGTGCATATAGTGTAGTCACACTCTCATATACTTCATTTCTTCATAGCTTTTGAGGGTTGTGTATCATGCCTTGCTCATAGGCCAACATGTGTGCATGTTCTTCTAGCATTTTGAGCTTCCATTCTAGCATGCTTAGGCCATTGTTTTGGCATGCATGAGGTCTGTCTATGGCTGGTTTATTCATTTGAGATTGATAATGCATGCCTCTTGAGTGATGCTCTTTACTAGCTTAATGTATTTGGCATTTGAGCATGCATTACATATGTTGTTTGCATTGTATCGTGTTCAACCAGACGTTATATTGAACACAAGATGGATTGGTTCATTTCATATTTGGAGTGATGAAATGAACCAATCTCCCTTGGTCTCCATTGCCTTTGACTCTCATGATAAGGAGATGGTCTAAGTGTCTTGTTTGCATTGCGTTTATTGAGTTTGTACAAATTGGATCTTTGACCATCATGCATTGCGATGCTTGATTGATGGTTTTGGATCCAATGATGCCCCTCCCTTGATGTTTTGAGATGATATGGAGGGGCATAGTACGTACATGTTCTTGGGAGACCCTCAATTTTCTCTGTTTTGTATTGCAGCTTGGTGTCACAGCACACAAGTGGTCGGCACCCTCTCATTGTTGGCCAACACCCCTTTATCCGTGGCCGGCAGGGGGGTCGGTAGCAACCATTTATGG